GGCACATAACAACAATAACAACAACCATTGAGTCAGAACAGACTCACAGCTGACCCTCGGGTGTGTTTTCAGAGGCATTTAATCACATGGGAGAAGACTGCTCACCCTTCTCCCGTGAAGCAGCTGTTGGATTTGAATCTCATGCCTTCAGGATTGCAGTACAGCTTGTTTATGTGTGTGTGTGTGGGGGGGGAGAGGGGTAAGAAGCTGCATTGCAATACCAAAGATATGCAGTTCAAATCTAGCTAGTAGCTACTCCAAGGGAGAAGGATAGGCAATCTCCTCCCATGCATGAGGGTCAGCTGTGAGTACAGCCAGTGTCAGCTACAGGGTCAGCTATTTAGATACATATAAAGACTGAGATCTGATGGCTTAGTGTTAAGGAGTTGTGCTGCCAACCCAAAGGCATGCGGTTTGAATCCACCAACTGCTTCCTAGGAGAAAGAGAAGCAATCTCCTCCTGTGTGATTTTATAGCCTCTAAGAACCTGCTGGAGGATACAGAACAGAAGAGAGAGACAAACCAGACAGGCAGACAGAACAGCAGAGAGAGTCCTGGGTGGCACAGTGTGTACCATAACATATTGGGGGACTTCCCAAAGGGGGCCTACTTGTGCTACCAACCCAATGGCATATGGTTTGAATCCACTAGCTATAGCTGCTCCCTGGGAGAAAGATGGAAAAATCTCCTCCTGTGTGATTTACATCCTCTGGCAAGTCTACGAGCCAGTTCTGACAATAACCCCAAAAACTGGTAGACTGAATTCATCAGCCAGTGCTTTGCTGGAGAAAGAAGGGCCATCTCCTCCAGGAAATATTTATAGCTTCCGAAACTCAATGTACGGTCTCTGTGTGTCAAAATGGATCCAATGGCACTGGGGCTTTGGATACAATATACAGGGAATTGTAGTTTTCTCTCAGAAAAAAAGCTCTAAAATGTCCTTTCCTGGTTAAGTGGGGAAGTGCAGGTGTTTTAAAGAACCCACTGGCTGTTAGGTAAGCCGGAGACTCAGCACTTTTCCGGTCACGCTGGTGCTGATTAATACTGCCCTGTGATAGCTGCTGGGCCGCCCTGCCAGCCACCAACAAATGGGCCAGCCGAGCACACTCAACTTCAGGCTTACGTTTAGAAGTGAATTCCAAATATTAAGTGTCAAAAGCAAGCACTCTGCTATTTATTCCCTTGGACTGCTCCTGGAAGATCATTATTTTTCATCGGAATCGACAAGGAGGAGGAACAAAATTGCAATCAATAAAAGCTTCTTCAAAAAAAAGGCACGTGCGTGCCATGATAAAATGAATTCAGCAGCTCTGGGGCTTTTCGCTTCTGCTCTCAGAGGCCAGGTGAAGGAGAAACTCGACGAAGTAAACCTGTCCTTGCTGATGCTAAATGGGAGATAACAGAAGGGAAGCCATTCTTTTTCTCAACCTTCCCTTGTGATTTGAGTGGAAACTTACAGAGCCGTAGAGCATCATGTGGGAGAAAAACATGCCAGTGGCAGCCAGTCATTACAAAACTACAACGCAATCCAAGGAGGGCAGGGGTGAGAACAGAGGGGTGAGGATGGATGCGGCGGAATCACAGGTTTGCACAATTTCCAGTGGGGACATCAAAAGGCAGGGTAATGGTGGGCAAGGTCCAATGGTGATTAATTTTATAAAACATAATGCATGGGAATGATTGTACAAAACACTGTGATTGAAGAATAGTGTGAAACACAATGTATATGAACTCTGTAAGCAAGTCAATATAAAATTTAAAAAATGAGAAAACCTCAAAGCTATAGTGCAGTAGTTTTCAAGGGGGGGTTGTCCTAGGACCAGCATCACCTGGTAATGTTTTGCTTTTTGGTATTTATGTATATATTTATATTTATAATTTCTATTTCTATTTCTATTTATATACATACATACATATTCCCACATCTCACTGTGTCAGAAACTCTAGGGTGGAGTCCGGGCATGTCTGTTTTAAGTTTGAGAGCCAGACACTTGTACACCAGTGTTCACAGCAGCATTATTCACCATCGCAAGAACGTGGAAACAGCCCAGAGGTCAAACCAAAACCGAATGGATTGAGAAATTATAGTGCATACACACAATGGAATACTACACAGCATGCTGGAGCAATGATTCTGTAAATTACTAACTAACTTGGGACAGTGCAAGAGAGGAAGACCCTCAATGAGAAGGACTGATTCAGTGACTGGGGTAACGGGGGGGTGTCAGAGACAATAAGATTGGCACAGGACAGAGCAGGGTTCAGGGCTGTTGTACATAGGGTCACTATGAGTCGTAGGCGACTCGACAGCACATATCAACAACAGCCTAACTTGGGAGGGACTGGGGAAGATTATGCTGAGTGAACTAACTCAGTCCCATAAGGACAAATACTGCACAAAAACCATTATTATAGAATGAGTATGAGGATCCACGTGGGGAGAGGGTGGAAGCAGGTGGGTGAGGAGGGGCGAGGAGAGGGGGCTTAATCATAGGGTGAAACAATTTGATGGGTAGGGGTGAAGGAAGTGGGAAAGATCTAGAATGAAAACCAGTGTATAGGAACTCTGTAAATAAACCAATATAAAATAAAAAACAAAATCAAGGCTGGACAAGATGGTGCTTGTGACCAAAGATGTCTCCAGCATTCCCTGCCATAAGGTCCCTCCTGAAGGACCAAGTCCTACCTTGTTTAGCAGACAGGACTCCGGTCAGTGCACTGCTGTTGGACTTGCCCTGGGTCTTGGAGTTCTTCCGTCTCTCGAGAGCATTCTAGAGCAGCATTAGGAAAGAATAAGAATGTCTGTCAGAAAATCAAGTGATGGAAAACCACCTAGTTCCACGATGCATCTTTTCACCCAAGCACAGAAAACCCCCTTGCAAACTTTAAATGCTGGCCTATGATTCAGAATGCTAGTCTCAGAGTAATGATCATGCCAACACTGAGAAAGACAGTACAGGACTGGGCAACAACTGTACAGAAGGCTGCCCTGGCCACAAGCCAACACAATGGCAACTGACAGTAACAACCACTTAGGGATGACTTTATGGTCCCAGTAAAGAGTTGGGGAAAAACAAATACAAGTTGGTGGTCAACACTCTGACAGCGATCCTAGCCTGTATGCAGTAGGCACTAGAAGGCTACTTGTTAAGCTGAATCACATCTGGAACAGAAATTGTCCACTGAGAGAACCCATTAAATATGGAAATTCTTCTGAATAAATGTGAGACAGAGAATAGGTTTATTCTTATGTGCCAGTGGACAGCTAATGGTACTTGGAAAAGTTCTGTGGTTGGATGGCAAAGAGAGTTGTGATCGATTAGTGATGCCTGCCAGGGAGCCAGACTGCTGTGGCTGTTGTTATGTTATGTGGAGTCACCTATGACCCATAGCTACCATATGGACAATGGCCTTGAACTCTGCTTTATCTTGAGCCAACCTCCCTAACTCTGGCACACATGACCCCACTGCCACTGTCTCGGGGTCAAACCATTTCATCCAGCATCTTCCTCACCTGCACTGACCCGCCACCCTTCCAAGCATGATGTCCTTCTCCAAGAACTGATCCCTCCTGGCAACATGCCCAAAGTATGTGAGACAGAGCTTCAAAATCCTTGCCTCCAAGGAGTAAACTGGTTTCACCCTCTCCAGGACAAACCTGTTTGTTCTTTTGGCAGTCCATGATTAAAGAAGTACCTATCAGTCACTGAGCTCAGCTGTGGTGGTGGGTAAAGAGTGACCTTGCCAAGCCAAAGGCATGAGGTTCAAGTCCACCAGCTGCTCTTAGGGGGGAAAGCTAGACAGTTTCCTCTAAAACAATTTACAGCCTCTGAAAATCCCCTAGAGGGTCAGCTATGAGTTGGGTCCACCTCAACATATTAACAGCAATAATGAATCCTGACATTAAAATTTATATGCAGTAAACAGCATGTGGTAGGCACATACAAGGATACTTTGATTTATTATATTTTCTTTTATTGTGCTTTGCAAGTAATAAAAAAATTTCCCCCTTCTTGTTCTTTTTTCCTGCTTTTGTTGTTTTGTTTCTTTTTATTTATTTATTTATTTATTTATTTTTTGCAAATGTAAGGTTTGTGGCAACACTGCGTTGAGCAAATATATCAGCATCATTTTTCCAGTAGCACGTGCTCCCTTCATGCCTCCATGTCACATTTTATTAGGTCTTACAATATTTTAAATTGTTTTCCATAATGCTACTTAATTTTATCAGCCACGGTGTACTAGAAAAGTAACTATACATGCATTCTCATTCATTACCATCAAGTCAGAACCAACTATAGCTGACCACCTAATGGGTTTTCAGAGGCTACAAATCCTATGGGGGAAAACTGATCATCTATCTCCTTTGAAGGAGCTGGTGGATTCGAACTGCTTGCCTTTGGGTTGTCAGCATAGCCCACTTTGGTGCTGTTGTGTACCATTAAGTTGGAACCGACCCATAGCTGACCCTCTGGCAGGTTTTGAGAGGCAGTTAATCACCTGGGAGGAGATTGCCCATTACTCTACCAAGGAGCAGCTGTTGGCTTTGACCCACGTGCCTTCAAGACTGCAGTGCAGCTGCTTGTCACTAGGTCACCAGAGCTCCCTGCCCATTACTCACTACAAATCACATGGCATTGTTTACTGTAACATTTATTATATTCTGGAATTGAACCTTGCAGTATATCTGAGCTACACCTGCAGTAGAATGGAACAGACTTTAAATTGTTACCTACATACAGGTATAGCTTGCCTCTGGAAGCCCTATGAACCTGGAGAAAAGACAAAAATTATACAGGTGTCCAGGACTTTCATTCATATAGGGTCGCTATGAGTCGCTTATGTCTTGACAGCACGTAACAACACCACCACCAACAACAGCATAGAGAGAGAGAGAGCAGTTGGCCTTACAAACAGAAAGCCATGCTCCCAAGCCAAAGGTAGGTGACTCTACTCTGTGGCCCTCAAGCCTGCCTTTAATTGTTTTTGGTGAAACATTCTTCTAGGTCGTGTAACCCTGGTATGTCCACTCGCTGTACAGAGGTAACTCGTGGTTGCTGTGAAGTTGAACACTGTGACACTGATGAGTCAAATGTGAGAATGGTACCCAAGGTGGACAGTGTTTGGTGAAGCTCCCTAATTAAAACAAGCTTGGAAGCAGGAGTGGCATCCACTTCCATAAAAACTTGCCTCTGGAAACCCTATGAACCTGGAGAAAAGACGAAAGTTATACAGGTATCCAGGACTTTCATTCATATAGGGTCTCTATGAGTGGCCTACGACTTGATGACACTTAACAACAACACCACCACCACCACCACACACAGCTTTGGTTGTTTGAGGATTTAAAAAAAAATAAATAGAACAGATACATCTTAAAGAAAACGAATACATTTTAAAACCATTAATTATACAACTTTAAAAGTTGCCATCATCTCTGGCTGCATGAGTATATTTTAGGATTGGTAAAAATGAAAATGTGGCCCCCATAGAAGGGAAAAGAAGACCAGAATGGCAGCTTCTGAGGGGGTAAAAAAAGCCAGCATCAAAAGCCAGAGAAATGAGAAGACTCTCCCAAGCATCTAGACTGTGTAACTCCACCCTGAGGAAGAGAAATCAATCTATTTTCAAGGCAGAGAAACCCAGGAGATTTTTCTAATTATAACACTTACAACCAACATCTGCAGAAATAGATATTATCAAACTAATGGTGCTGGAATTAGACTAAATAACAGGGAGAGAATCTGAGCACTCTGCGTTTGCCGTGTGACACGCACTTTGGCGTTTCGGTTCTGATTTCCCAATCTCTGTCTCTCCCTCTCTTCCTGAAACCATTTTCTTACGGATAATCAGGAAATAGGCAGCAGAGCTGATGGCTGGGAATTTTGAAGGGGTGGGGGAAGGTAGCTATGAAATCTAATTTCCAAAGCACGAGGCTGTGAAGTGGCCAAGTGCAAATTCCAGTATCCTCGATAGGTCCTCTCCAGAACGTAGCCCCAGAAGGGGATCCTGCAAATAAAAAAAGCTGTTGGAGGTTTGTATGTGTTGTTTGAGTTTCCTTTTGACCAGTTAACCCCGCCAAGACTCTTATTGGACTCTATCTGGGAGGGAAGGCAAAGACTGAAATATCTTCTGCCCATAAAAGAGAATGGAAATAGAATGACATTTAGAAGCACAATAGTGAATCATCGTCATTGTCCTCAGAACTCGTTACCTTGTACTTGGCAATGTTCGATTTCAGGAGGTTGACCTCTTCGTGGAGCTGCTTCAGTCTCTCTTGAAGGTACCTGGAAAAGAGCAACAAGGAAGGGGTGACAGGTGCTCAGGGGATGCAACAGTTCATTACTCAGCTGCCAAGCAGAAGATGGGAAGTTCAAATCCACCCAGTGGCTCTGGGGAAGAAATGCCTGTCGGTCTGCTTCTGTAAATATTATTGCCTCAGGGTCTCCACAGGTGTAGTTCTATGGGGGCTCTTCAGAGCTGAAATAAACTTGATGGTTGTTGTCATGTGCTGTGGTATCAACTCTGCTGCATGGTGACCCTATGAACAATGGCTCTGAACCTTGCCCTATCTTGAGTCAACTGTCTCTGACACACCTGACCCCACTGACATGGTCACTGTGTCAATCCATGTTCTCTGGGGTCTTCCTCTCCCGTACCGAGCCTCTACCCTTCCAACCAAGATGAAGTCCCTTCTCCAAGGACCAGCCCCTCCCGGCAACATGCCCAAGTATGATGAGATATGGAGCTGCAAAATCCTTGCCTCCAAGAAGCAACCTGGTTTCACCCAAATGTCCAACCACAAACGGATAGATTGAGAAATTATGGTACATTCACACAATGGGATACTATGCAGCACGCAGGAGCAATAACTTTTTAAATTATTACCTAACTTGGGAGGGACTGGAGAGCATTATGCTGAGTGAACTCAGTCCCATAAGGATAAATATTGTATAAAACCATTATTGTAGAGTGAGTATAAGGATCCAGGAGGGGTGGGAGAGGCTGGAAGCAGAGGGATGTGGATGTGCAGGGGGAAGTGGGGCTTAATCATTGGGTTGTACAATTTGGTGGGTAGGGGGGTGAAGGAAATGGAAAGAATTTGCTCAAATTTGTATTTTAATTTTGTAAATAAACTAGTTGTTAAGAGCCTTTGAGTTGCAGGCGACTCATAGCGACCCTATGAAGGAGAGTCCTCAACACCTGGGTGTCTTTCATCCTCTCTCCAGGTTCACAGGGTTTTCGGAGGCAAGCTATTACGGAAGTGGATGCCACTCCTCCTTCCAAGCTTATTTTAATCGGGGAGCTCCACCCCATTCTGTCTGCATTGGGTAGCCAACCATTAACGCATTTGGCACATTAGTGTCACAGTGTTCAGCCTCACAGCAACCACAAGTTTCCGCTGCATGGCAACTTGTACACCAGGGCTATATGACTTCGAGGAATGTCTGAACAAAATAAACCAGTAGGAAAAAAAAAAAGCAGCAGCAAACTAGTTCCACTCTCTCCAGGACAGTATTTCAAGGCAAAATAAAAACAAGCATCCAAATATAACTCTTTCCCATTGACACTGAGGTGGAACTGACTTATAGCTGAACTTCCAATGGTTCTTCTGAGGCTGTTAATCACACGGGAGGAGACTGCCCATCTTCCTCCCACCGAGGAGAAGATTCAAACCGACAGAGATACTCAACCTTTGGGTTAGCAGCACAATGCCCTACGGATGAGGCCATGAACATAAAGGTGGGAGACAGAAGACCACAGGTCGGAAGAGCCAGATTTTAAGCATAATGCTCTGCTCTGCTTCTCATTTAGGAAGAGAAAAAGTGCATGTCTGTAACCTCTGCTCTGATGGATGCGATCAAAGTCAAACATACCCCAAACCACAGAAGCCCCACGTTAGAACCGCCCTCTGCGGAGAGCCCCCTGAGGGGTGGTAAGGTGGTTTGCACATAATTCTCATTAAGATAGACTCCACTGGGAGAGAAATCAGGACGAGTGCCACCAGTCATAACACTAAGTGAGACACATCCACACACTGAAATTTGCCCAGGGGAAAAGAAATCGCTCAGGGAATTTATCAATTTATTTTCTTATTCTTTCCCTGTTTCCCGGATAGCAAGACAAGCAGCTTTCCTGGTGTCCTTATCTTTCTCATCCAACCAGGGGAGACAGGGAGGGGGGGCAGGGGAACAGGGGGTGTGTGCAGGCAAGTATGTGACATTTCTTTACAGCTAATAACTGGTAGTGACCAGTAGCCATTCCGGGAAGTGTGGAGGGTCAGAGAAAGTGAGGAAGACCCTCGACAAGAAAGACTGACACCGTGATTGTAACATGGGTTTGAGTAGGTCAGAGACGTGAGGATGACGCCGGATGGGCCAAAGCTCTGATCTGTCCTTCACAGGGTCGCCATGAGTCACCGTGAATGCAATGGCACAACTCAACAGCACAGCTGCCATCAAGTGGCTCCAACAGGTGCCAGAGAAGAACAGCGCTCCAAAGGCCTCTCAGCAGTTCACAGAGTTTTCAGAAGTTGATCCCCTAGCCTCTCTTCCTAAGTGCTTCTGGAAGGATACGAACCTGCAACCTTTTGGTTAAGAGTCAGCAGCTTAACCGTTTATACCACCCATGTACTTACAACTTGCATGTGATGTTAATGTCATCGTTTAGGGGACAATTTTCTCGGCTGCAAGTCCCGAGCACCAGACCCGAACCAGCCACTTGCCTGTTCTCCATGCACAGGGCATCCACGTCAATGATGCGGTTCTCATGTCCCCCCAGGATGTGGTTCAGCTCCTGGTTTAGCCTCTCCACTTTGTCTTGGTATGAAGAGCGCTCTTCCTTGACATCCTGAAGTTCGTCCACAGAGGCCTGCAGGTCATGCTCCAAAGACTCGATCTGAAACCCAAGGAGACACGCTCTGTCAGGATGGACCTTAGACGTCAGCTTTACCACCCGGGAGGGAGTCTTCAGCTTGGCTGACTGACCGTTAGAGAGAGCTGATGACCGCCACCCACGTGCTATAAAATGTGAGTGCCACACACGAGAATGGGGTCAAAGCTGACACCATGGGGACCACTGCCTGCCATCTACTCAGAATATGTACAGTATCTTGGAGACAGGAAGCAGTACAGAAATCAAAACTTCACCCTCACTGATTACCAGCTAAACTTGCTGCTGTCAAGGCGACTCCTACTTGTGGCAAACGCACGTGAGTCATATTTGTGCTCCTCCCTTTGCAGGGATGCTGTTACGTGCCACTGTGTTGCCTATGACTCACTGTGACCCTATGAACTATGGCTCTGAGCCTTGCCCTGTCCTGAGCCAACCTCACCATCCAACACACTCGACCCATTGCCACAGTCACTGTGTCAGTCCATCTCATCCAGGGTCTTCCTCTTCTGCACTGACTCTCCCCCCTTCCAAGCAGGATATACTTCTTCAAGGACTGTCCCCTCCTGAAAACATGCTCACCAAAGAATGTGAGATGGAGCTTTAAAATCCTTGCTTCCAAGGAGCAACCTGGTTTCTCTAAGATGCACTTGTTTTCTTGACAGTTCACACTCAATACTTTTTTTCAGCACCACAGATCAAAGGCATTGATTCTTCTTCTGTCATCCTAGTCATTGTCCAGCTTTCAGGTGCATAGCAAGTAATTGAAAAGACCGTGGCTTCGATTAGACACACCTTAATCTTTAGACGGACTTCATTGCTCTTTAGCACTCTGGAGAGGTCAGAACCTCCAGAGGAAATCTGATGCACCTGCCACCAGAATGAGGCTATGGAGATTATCGGGCCTTGCTCCAACCTTGTGTTGCTCCTTTGATGAATGTGTGAACCCCACCACCTGAGTCATTATATATGTGTTTGGTTGTCTTTATGTTTTACTTTCAGGGGTACCATTTATCTGTCTTTTTTTTTTTTTTTGTATTGTGGACGTGTCTTTGCATATTGCTGTTCTTAACAGCTTAGATATGTATATGTTTGTCTACCGTCTGCTCTTGTGGGTACAGTGCTTGTGTGTAAGATGCTGTACTAAATCAGAGCCCCAAGACCAAGAGAGACTAGGAAGGACAGGCCATCCACTTCTGAAATAACAGTCTTTAGGCAACCTGTATTCACCTCCACAGAATTTTCAAAATCAGAACACATGTTGTATTGGGAAAATCTGCTATTAAGGACCTCTCCAAAGTGCTCAAGAGCAAGGATGTCAGTTTAAAGACTAAGGTGTACTTGCTCCAAGCCATGGTGTTTTCAATTACTTTCTATGCATCTGAAAGTAGGACAAGGAATATAGATGCTAGAAGAAGAACTGAATTGTGGTGGTGGATAAAAAGAATGACTATCACACAGACTGTCTAAAGAACAAACAAATCTTGGAGGAAGTGCAACACAACCAGAGAGCTCTTTAGAGGAAGTATGGCCTCTCATACCTGGGGCATGTTGTCAGAAGCGACCAGTCCTTGGAGAAGGACATCATGCTGGGAAGGTAGAGGACCCGAGGGAGACCCTCAGTGAGATGGGTCGGCACAGTGACTGAGGATGGCACACGATAGGTAATGTTCTAATGTGTTGTTCACAGAGTCACTTATAGGGAGCTCTGGGTGGCACAGTGGTAAAAAGTTGCACTGCCAACCCAAAGGCAGGTGGTTCGAATCCTCCAGCTTCTCTGAGGGGGAAAGATGGGCAATAGCCTCTCATGTGATTTCCAGCTTCTGAAAACCCATGGGAGCATCAGCTACGAGTTGGTTCCAAATCAACTGTATATCATAACAACAATTGGGTAACTATGAGCTGTCGTTGCCTTGACAGCATTTAACAACAACATGGAACTTTCAAGGACTGACTTTTTTTTATGAGGATCACCAGACTTTTCTATCTTGGCACCTCTGGGTAGATGCACATCCTTTCCCTTAGAGCTGAACTCACAGATTGACTGTTCTGCCCTAGGGCTCCTTGCAATAGGCCTCAGAGTCAAAGGTCTTCTGCAGGCTGTTCTAGACACCGAGGACAATGTCTTATAAAGACGGATTGTCCACAAATCCACACCGGACACAGAAATATTGTTCTGCTCTTCAAAATCAATTAGCAAGAAAGGAAAAATAAAGCAGCTGACTGTCTTAGCTACTCCCTAACTAGGGCTTGGTATCCACTGAGTTTCTGCTTAAGGAAGCATTTTCATGGACACTTGCAAATTGAAGCCAGTTTGTCACGTTCTGTTCTTTCCCTGTCTCTTTTGGGCATAGGGGACATTCCTATTTGTGCTCAGGACAGTGGTGCCCAAGTCAAGGAAGATGCTGGGAATATAAGAGTCAGCCGGGAACCCAGTACAGAGTGTGGAGGAAGCAGGGCCATTCAGCTCATATCCTCTTGTCCTCTGACTCACATCCTACATGTAGGGCACCCAACACTTTCTGCAATGCAAGCAAGGCCTCCCCTTTCTGAGTGAGCCCAGCCATGCAGACGCATGGCCTGCTGTCCATGCAGACACATGGCCTGCTGGGCACGGCTGGGCTTGCTAACCTGTTCCTTAGCTCTTTCCAGTTGCTGAACCAGGTCTTCACGCTCGTGGGCTGCAAAGTGACGCACGCCGATTTCATCGTCCCCCAGCCTCTGCTTGGCAATCGTCATCCTCAAGAGCTGCATTTGTTCCAATAACCAGAAAAGAAAATTAAAATGAAAGAAAGAGTTAAAATGCAAGATCTAAACAACAACTCCAAGGGTGCTAGACTTTAGGAAGTGTACTGCAAGAAAGACTAGGAAACATGCAGAGCAAAACAAACTTCCTATCAATATCAAGGATCCTAAACCAATATATTTTAAAATATACACTGTATTTTACACACATCCACACATAAGGTGTAAGGCTAACAGGATCCTAATTCACTGATATCTCTCAGTTCTGACTCTGAGCAATCCCCCCACTGAGTTTCTGAGGATGAACTCTGTATGGGAGGAGTCTGTCCTCTGGTGGATTGGAACCACCAACCTTTTGGATACCAGCCTGACACTGTCACTATGACAGCAGAGCGTCTAAGAAAATACAGCCTTCAGTCACATTTAAACTTAGCACAGATTGAAAAGTGGTAACAACACTGGGAAGGCTTGCTGGGAGATGGACACACGCCATATTTGGGCTGGGATAGAAAAGAATTTATCTCTCTGAAGGGATAGGCTATATGACTCAGAAGAAAGGCCTGGAAATCTTCTACTTGCTAAAAAGCAAACACTGAAAACCCCAGGAAGCACAGAAAACACACATGGGACTAGCATGAATGGGAGCTGACCAGATGTCAACTGATTTGGTTAACAAGAACCTTAATAAATCCTTATCCAACAATCTTGTCACTCTACTTACGACAATATGGGCTAAGAATACTCTCAAATGTGAACAAGTTTTAGGAGGGGAAAAAATAGATCATATCACTATTTTGAGGCAGAGGAACCAAACTAGAAATAAAGCGCAACATTAGTGCAATGATTAGTAAGCTAGAGTAATGTCAGTCAATGGACTAGTTAATAGTCATTTGAAATTATGGTGATGAGAATCATAGGGCACAATAGAACAAAAGGAAGCAATGTTGTTGTTATGTGTCATTGAGTCAACTATGACCCATAGCAAACTGTATGAACAATGGCTCTGGACTTTGCTGTTGTTGTTGTTATGTGCCATCGAATCACTTGCGACTCTAGTGACCCTATGTACAAGAGCCCTAAATGCCATTCTATCCTGTGCCAACCTCGCCGTCTCAAACACAATTATTCCCACCATTCCACTCACAGAATCGATCCAGCTCATTGAGGGTCTTCCTCATCTGCGCCGTCCCTCCACTCTCCCAAACATGATGTCCCCCTTTAAGGACCAGTCCCTCCTTGCAACATGCCCAAAGTATGTCAAACGAAGCTTCAGAATCCTTGAATCCAAGGAGCATTCTGGCTTCACCCTCTCCAGGTCAAACCTATTTGTTATCCTAGCAGTCCATGGTATATTCAACACTCTTCTCAAGCACCACAGCTCAAAGGCATCAATTCTCTTTCTATCATCCCTATTCACTGTCCAACTCTCCAATGCATAGCACGTAACTGCAAAGATTATAGCCTGGATCAGGCACACCTTAGTCTCCAG